AAACCCTAGAGACAGAGAGAGAATTCATCGAAAGAAAACTGATCTGATTTCTATTTCACAATCAGCTGCATTTCTATTGACTTTCTCTAAAATGGTTTTTTATACATAATCTAGTGATCCATGTCAGTGTCAGGATTCTAGGGTTTACTAATAAACACTTCCAACCCCAATAAAATAATCAATAATCGAATTGATTAACCACAACAAAAAAAAAAAAAAATAATAATAATAATAAGCAAGCAAAGAAGAATACAGAACATGGCAAATTATAGTGGTTCGGCTTTGTAGCCTACATCCACTTTCCAAGGCTCACAGTAGGGTATTTTCATTACTCAACCATAAAAGATCTACAATGGATGAATAAAGAACAAAGAAGAATACAAAGGAAGAAACACACACAAATTGAAAACCCTAAGTTTTGCAATTAAGATCTAACTCCTCTTCTGCAACAATCACAGTTAAATACGCAAACATCCTTCTCTAAATCAGCCTCCACCTGTCTTTGATTTCTCCATAACCGTGAGATGGGCAACAATCCAGAAAATTCTTCAACCATGTGTTTTGAGAGGCAAAGAAAGATGAGAGGCTTAGGCTTAGCGAGAGTCAAGGATCGAAGTACACGATATACAACTTGGTCCAGGACAAAATGACGCGCCATTGCTCCTTTGACTCTTTATAATAAGAGCTGACTTCCACCGTGGCAAATCATGAGCCACATCAGCACAGTCACTTTACATCACAGCCGTTCATTCACTTCCAAACAGACACACAAACACAAATTATTCATCATTCAATCCCTTTTGTCTTTCTCTACTGCAACTCTGTTTGTTCTCAGACTTACAAGAAAGAGCTGCCACTTTGTTTAACTTTATTTATTTGAAATTTTCCACAGTTTGAAGATTGTTGTTACGACACCGTATTCTTGCAAGGCTTTCTAACAAAAACTGTTATATTTAACAGACTTTTCTTTCCTTTGTTACCGGCAGCTGAGTGTTCACACTTCATTAGTTCTGCGCTTCTTTCTTCAGTTAAGAAATTTTTAAGTTTCAGCTTGTATACTACTGTTGACAAGGCACAACAAATTCCATGATCCACTTGACAATGGAACCATTGACTCATTAGCACTTTGCATTCTCCCCTTCAAAAGACCAACACCTCCTGCATCACCAGCTTGGCCTGTGGGCAAAGGCCTATTAGGGTCCTTCAAGCCTAGTATATTTTCATTGGTGAAGAGTTGTTTGTTCATATTAGGATAGTTTTGAAAAGAATGGCCAGATTCACTCCAGTCTCCAACTGAAATAACGCAGGATATATTGTAATGAAATAACAGAACAAATCGCAACAACATTGACAGCAAATCTAGAAATCAATGTCAAGCCTTCAGCAATTACAATCAGGTCAAGCATCTTTCATTCAAAGAGGAAAATATACGGTTGGAGCACAAAATGGAAGCCATCACTTGGCACACAGATAATCTAATAGAGAAAAGGAAGTACCTGAACTTGAATTAGACCATCTTCTTGATTAAGAATTTGAAGCGACAAAGTTTCTTGGACATCAAAGTTACTCATTCCACCGTCTAGTATCAGAGTTACGTTGAGTTTCTCCTCAATTGTCAAAGTGATAGGATCAGTTGGTGGTGGAGCAGCTGATCTTCAAGATAACTATACCTGCTTTCAGAGATTCCAAGAATTGATTTGCCTTTGGAATTTACCAAGCTGCATGCCACGACCGTTAGGAGGAGCTGTGGTGGATGACCTAATGATGAAAGTATATAATAGATAAGAATTCTCTTCAGTTCATAAACAAATCATCGAGGAATCCAGAAACAGATACATTAAGCTGATGTCCACAAAAAGGCAACAAACAGATATCTTAAAGACAGAACAAGGATAACCTATCTGCCTAGGATCTCAATAGGAAATTCTCAATTATTTAGCTACAATGCATTCTTATTTGCTAACTCACAGAACAGCCTCAGTCATTTAAAAAAAAGTGTGAATACCATTATGAATTAAGAGTTGCCAGAATTACAGGGTAGCAATGGGGAAAGCGGAATTATTGGAACTCAAGAATTGGCCGGCAGAGAGATACGAGGCGGCATTATTGAATTTAAGCATTGAAAGCAGCTATTTACAAGGCAGCGAAATTCACGAAATGGAAGGCAGAGATTTACAAGGCTAAGAAATTTAAGAACTGGAAGGCAGAGAGTTGTATGGTAGCAATTTTTGGGAAACTTATTAAGGTCGTAGGAATACGGAAACTGAAGGGACAGAGACAGCAGCTACATAGAATTCTACATATGCCGAAGTTAATTGAGGTATGGATTCAATATCATAGTTTAGCTACATTGCATTCTTATTTGGACGATCCCTCATCAGTTTTCTACGATCCACGCACAGTTCGAAAGCTCTTGAAATCCTCTTTCCATCCGTACCTAGCCCGTCGTCATTGGACTTCCCGTTCGCCGGGAAATCGCCCTGACATTTCGCCAAAAAGGCAGATTTGCAGTCGCTTTTCCGGTCGTTTTACTGATCGGAAACAGCTGTGGTTGGTCCCGTTCAAACCGTCTGGTCTTGCTCTTCAAAACTCTGGTCTTGGTTTGCCTTGGTTGTTCGTGCTTTGCCGGAAAAGCTCCCTGCTTTTCCGTGCAAAATTGTGTTGGGTTGCTCTCTTCTAAGCTTTCTGTGATCTGATTTTGGTGTTTTTCACAAGATATTCTGTGGGTTTTTGGTGTTTATTGTTTCTGCAGTTTTCTGGAGAGATTGGGACGTGTTGGGTGATTTTTTTAATCACATTTTGCTTGGGTATTTTGGTGCACACCAACTACTCACTGAAAGTCCCAGCCCACAGCAGCCTCTGCGCTCGCCTGCTGCTTGCTAGCGTTATACACAGGTAACATTTTTCAAATATTCCGAGTTGGTGTTGGGAAGAGGGAGTAAAATTTGTAATAATATGTTTCCAAAAACATTATTTCAGAAAAGAAAAAGGATTTTTTGGGCAAAAAAAAAAAAAAATTATTATATATTCTTCGCTCCAGGTCACTACAAAACTTGTGCTAAATAATGATTTAGTTTGAGGGTGGGCCACCCAGCACAACTTCATTTTGCATATTGTGTCACATAGTTTTATCGTTAACTAAAAGAGAGTTGATCTGCCATGAATTTTATACATGCAGATTTACGTTTTACGATATGGTCAGTTACTATGAATGACTTTGTTATTAAGATGAGTTATATGATATTTTAATCAAAAATAGTTTCCCTTCAATACTATACACGACACATCTGGATCACCTGAATCTTATAGAATCCTGAATCCTATAGGACTAGAACTGGTATTGTAAAATATAGTTTGAAGTTCGCTTGCCATATGTAACTTTGAGCTTCGTCGTGTGCGGTTGATAACTGCTAGATAACGGTGTTGGGATTAGGAAGATAATCAATCATTGATTATTTTCAACTTAAATTGGTTTTAATGACAACACTAAAATGCAGCCACATTTTCTAAATATGGCTGTACTTGTAATGAGTTTTACATGAATGGTGTTATTTTTGAGTTCCTATTATCTCTAAGTAAACTCTTTTTGTAATTATTGTCCTTGGACGAAAATTAAAGGGCTCAACGAGTAGAGGCAAAACGCAAATAAGAGGCCAAACCCAGAAACATATATAAAACGGTAGCCCAGAAAAGAATATAAGATGGTTCAAATGGGTATTAGTCCAATGGGCTCCTGACATGAAACTTAGGGTTTGTTTGTTTTAATATTTTAGATAGTATTTTTTGAAAAATAAGAGTTGGGTGGAAATATCGAGGTAAGATTTAAAAATTAAGAAAAACACCTCGTAGGTTTGTTAATTTACTAAACATCAATGTAATAAAACATTAAAAATTAACAAAAACACTCTCACACACTCATTAAATACCAACAGCCGGCCACCACTACCGGAGGATGGCTGGAGTCACCGTATTGGCGCACAATCAGCTGGATCTGGCCGATCGTACATCGATATGGTCTTTTCTAGCCAGATCCACCGTGGATCTGGCCAAAAAAAGCCAGATTTGGTCGTCAACAACGGCCAAAGATATAGTCGTTGTTGATGGTCAACAACAACCATATCTTGGCCGTCGTTGACGACTAGCTGTGGCCATCAACGGCAAAATCTTTGCCCTTAGATCTGGCTAGCTTGGCGCAGTAACGGCCAGATCTAGCCGTTAGTGCCCCATTATACCAAATTCTTGCAACCTGCCAGTGGTGGTGGCTGGAATCTGACAAATGTGGGTGGGTGGGGGTGTTTATGTCAATTTCTAAAATTTTTTTGGGTGTTTAGTTAAATTAACAAATCTAAGGGATTTAAAAATAATTAGATAAAATAAAATATGATTTTTAGAATAGGGAAACAAATGTGTATTTTGGGTAGGATAAGGATATGATAGTGAAAAATAATTAAACAAACGAACCCTAGATTTTATGTTATATTTCCATTTTTCTTTTATCCAGTTGAATATAGGGATTCAAACTTTAAATTTTGATCGTCATCCCACCTAAAAATTTAAGCTATCAAGCAAGGAATTAACATTATGCAAGTCCACTGGATTAACATTATGCAAGTCCACTAGACACCAGTTACCACAAACCCTTATAAAAGGGGTAAAAAATTGAAGGGGAGAAGCCTAAATCTACTACACCCAAAGCCTAAATTTCGACTTGAACGAAATAGAGAAGCAACAGGAACAAAATAATAATAGTTAAACAAAACAAACAGTAAACAAAGAATGTAATACGCGCGATTTACCCTGGTTCACCCAATGTAGGCTACGTCCAGCTGAGTCAATATTATTGCAATATGCCTCACCTTAAAATAAGTCTACAGACAAATAGTATAAATTTCTGTAGACTTATTTGACCGGGCAGCGGGACCCCCGAGTGCGTCTCCGTTACCCATTAATGCTGAAGTAGTCGACAACTCCAACACGACTTGGGTGTGGAAATTTTGTAGCTAAATGCAACATATTATTGCACTCAAAATCTTCAATGGTCCACTCGCCACCACTTCCATAGTCAAGCCTATATCATATAGTGGATTGAATATATTGGCATGATGGTGCAAAACTGCAATGTAAAATATGTTGTTACCATTCTCATCTAATTCATAAACCAAATCAGGATAGCAGCTAGTAAGCTCAACCAAATATTCGGAATTCTCCAGTTTAGCTGCATCGAACACGAGATTTGAAGGAGTTTTAGTTAGGTTCGCCTGCTCCAAATCATCTTGAGTTAATATTTCTTCCCAAGGACATTTACCTGATTGAAGAGCTTGAGTTGATACCACATCCTTGTTGCAATCCTACTTCATTCTTGAGACGAAGAATCTGGGCAATAAATTTTATGTTGAGTCAATTCAGAGATATGATAAATCAAAGTGTTGGAGAATTAAACTAACATGAGCTGAGAAGCTTGCTCAATAGTCCTTGATTTCTATTTGCAAATACTGAAGGTTTTCGGGCTAAAACATGTATGGTTGTCTAACAATTTTCATCACGAGCAACGGCTAATTCTGGTTCTTTAGCAATATCAATGCGAGATTTGAGCAATTCAACTATATAAGCAAAAGAATTGAATGCAAATTTAGCATATAGAAATAATTTATGATTCTAACTAGTCTTAATTTCTCTTAGAAAGATGTACAAATTATATATCAAATATACAAGGTTTGTCATATTAGTTTATAAAGAGTAGTTTTTATATGTAGTGTATTGTTTATCTTATTATTTATATGTCAGTATATATAATATGGAAATATACATATCACTTATGTATGAAAATTAGGATGTATAGAATGGAATTGGACGTACCCTTACCATATAAATCAGTACTCAGACAAGTGAAAAGTATAGTAATTTGGTCCTCCCTTGTCAAAACATGTTTAGCTTTAGCATATAAAAATGATGTCATGTCCTTAACAGAGCAGCCATATAAAATGGTCAATGGTGCCAATTGTTACGCATTCGGATTTGGATTTGTTTTCAGCATAATCGTTGCGATTTCAATAGCTCCAGTTGTGGCAGCGAACAGAAGGCCAAGTTAAGAGAAAAAAAAAAAAAAAAAAAATTCTTGGAATTATAAAATATATTGTTTGTTTTGCCAATGCAGCTATATAAAGAGTAAGCTTAAAGTTACTTGACCCAACCATTCAGGCAGTTTGCCACGTAAATGGTTATTGCTTAATCTCAGGTACATCAAACTAGGCAGAGGACTATCAGAAACACAGCCATCGATTACATCAAGGAATTCAGGCAAAGTACCTGTCAAGTTATTACTTGACAGATCAAAATTTTTTAAGTTGCAAAGTTTACCTATGGAACTTGGAATGCCACCCTCAACAGCATTATTGGACAGATCAAAATAATTGAGAAAAGACATGTTACCAACAGAAGAAGGAAGCTTGCCATGTAATTTGTTTGAAGCAAAGTTGAGAAACTGTATCTTTTTCCAGCTTCCGTGGAGCAACTGAGAGCAACTTGCCGAAAGATTATTGTTTAAGGCAAGATTCAGGTACTGCAGATTAGGTAACTCATTAAAGCCTAGTGGTATTCTTCCATGTAACTTACAATTGCTTAAATCCACATGAACAAGAGTACTACTATTAATAAGCCAGTCAGGGAACTTTGAATTGAAGTCATTAAAACTAAGGTCTAGAACAGCAAGTGAAGTCAAATTAACAGGTTTAATCAATGGAATGGGACCAGTAAGGCCACAACTTTGAAGATGCAACTCAGTTAAATTCGGAAGCTTGTTTAAGACCCCAGACCATTTAGTGCCCACCAATGAAAGGTCAACACTATTCATAGCAAGATACTTGAGAGAAACAAGACCAGTCACCCATTCTAGACTATCAGCACTTAAACCAAAAAGTTCAGTGGAAACATCAAGATACTGCAGTCTAGATAGCTTCCCCAAACTTGAAGGAACAGCACCACTAAACCCGGATTTTGATAGGTTCAGATAGCGCAGATTTTCCAATGATCCCAAGAATTCTGGAATCAGAATATCATTAAATGTGTTGCTGCTCAAGTCTAGATATTGTAAGGACTTGAGTTTTATTAATGAAGATCTAAGCTCCCCACTTAAGTTCCAAGAAGCATACCTGCTTGAAGTATCGAAAGCCATTAGATATGGGCTACGAAGGTCAATGGTGACAACAGCTCCAGTACTATTGTCACAACTGATTCCTTGCCATTGACAGCAGTTGCTTCCTTGCCATGATGACAGCCGGTTTCTAGGATCTTTAAGGCCATTTTTGAAGTCGGTAAGAGCTTGTAGGTCGTTTTGAGAACAATTTGACATGTTGGTATCGGCATTGCTAGCATATTCACTTGTTAAGGCACATAGAATTGCTAACACAACGCAATGAACTGATAATCTCCCCATGTTTGGTTTGGCAAAGGCTGTGAGTCACTTTAAGCCATGGAATTGCGCAAGACAAGCATATATACTCTCCATTTTCTTCATCCAATGGTAATCGTACAAAATGGCGTGAAGAAAAACCAAAAATCGCACTATCAGAAAAATTAGATAAGCAAACAGAGAAATATGATTTTTTTTTTTTTAAACAATACGCACATTGTGCATTTCATCCTATCGCATCATACAAGTTAAGAAATAGGATACCGCATTTGGCTTTGTACATATATTTTCGAAGAGTATTTCACAAGTTGTTACTGCTCCAATATCTTCCACAACTTTACATGTGCCTTGATGAACGAAGAATGTAAAATTTTCTCTAGAAATTGAAGTCAATTTAGAATGGAAGTCAAGCAGAGTCAGTTGTAGTCATAATCATGGAATTAATCCTACTCCCACATGCTTGACTTGATAGACTTTATCATTTACTATAGGAAAAATGTGATAAGCTAACAGAGAAATATGATTTTCTTAAACAATACGCACATTGTGCATTTTATCCTATCGCACCATACAAGGTATATAGTATACCGCATTTGGCTTTGTATATTTTCAAAGAGTATTTCACAAGTTGCTTATTGCTCCAATATCTTCCGTAACTTTAAAGTTGCCTTGATGAATGAAGAATGTAAAATTTTTCTTTAGAAATTGAAGTCAAGTAGAGTCAATATTAGTCATAATCATGGAATTAATCCTACTCCAACTAGCTAGTCAAATCTTGGTATAAAATAAGTGCTTGACTTGGTAGACTTTATCATAGATTTTCTGGTATAAAATAATCACCTTGGTATATTTTGAAATTATATTTATTGTCATAACATGTTAGGCAATTGATGTACAATGTTGACTAATGTACCATCAAAGAAAGGATTTCCCCGTTTGAGTGCTGCTGGACAAAACAATCTTCAGTGTAATTTCAGAAACTTTGTAATATGGCTCCACTGACAACTCTCCAATATTGACAAACCAACATCTTCGGTGTAATTTCAGAAACTTTGTAATGTCGCTCCACTGACTACTATCCAATATTGACTTACACTTGGATTTGTTTCCAAGTCAACAAACAAGTAATTAATACATAAAAGAAGATTATACATGGAAAAGACCCAAACCGCCAACGGGCCCGCCCACTGACTGTTGGAGTAGTTGACAACTCCAACAGTCAGCGGGCGGGGGTCTCGCTCCTCGGTGAGTAGGTGGGAATCGTGGGGATAGCGCCCTTGGGCCTGTAGGCAGTTTGGGTCTTTTCCATGTATAACTGTTGTAGGATTTCTTTAAGTTATTAATTTCTTATTGGGTTCGGCTTAGGAATAGGAGTCCTTGTAAATTGGGTTTTGTCATTTATACCTAGTATATAAACATACTTTTCTCTTGTTATTGTTGGAGTTGTCGACTACTTCAGCGTTAATGGGTAACGGAGACGCACTCGGGGGTCTCGAGCCCGTAGGCGGTTTTGGGCTTTTCCATGTATAACCGCTGTAGGATTCCTTTTAAGTTATTAATTCCTTTTTGGGTTGGGCTTAGGAATAGGAATTCTTGTAAAACTAGGTTTAATCTCTTAAACCTAGTATATAAACATACTTTTCTCTTGTTATGGGTGTGAGAACAATTCATTCATTGTAAACGAGAGAGGTGAGGCATATTGCAATAATATTGACTCAGCTGGACGTAGCCCACATTGGGTTTTGTCATTTATACCTAGTATATAAACATACTTTTCTCTTGTTATGAGTGTGATAGCAAATCATAGGGCAATTTATTTATTGTAAATGAGAGAGAGAGAGAGATGAGAAAATATTGACTCGGCTGGACGTAGCCCATATTAGGTGAACCAGGGTAAATCATGCGTGTTATTTTCTCTATGTTTATTATCTGTGATTTGCTTTATTGTTGTTTTGTTCTCGCTACTGTCTCTATATCGTTCATTGATCGGGCAGCGGGACCCCTGAATACGTCTGCATTACCCAATAATGCTTAAGTAGTCGACAACTGCAACAGTCTTGTGGCATTTCCAGTTTCAAGTCATCTCTTAATGTTGTTAATTTTACCTCCTTGGCTGTCATAGACCTAAGTCGTAATGTCTTCCTATCAGAAATACCTAATTGGCTTTCAAATATCAGTAGCCTCGAGTCCATTAATTTACATTAAGCCAATTTGTATGGGACGATACCTCTTGGTCTTAGAGGGCTACAAAACTTGAGGTCTTTGGACCTTGGTGCAAATTTGTATCTCACAGCTAATTGTTCTCAGCTATTTGCGGGAAGCTGGAGAATGGTAGAATATCTCAAATTGTGTTATTTAGTGAAGCCTTATACGTAGCCGTTTTAGTTTTAATATATCCTACAATTATGGCCATTGATCTCCAAGCAATCCAATGACTGAAACGCACCTGCTGGTCAACCATATAAAAGCAGAAGATTTCCCCTTTTTTGCACTCTCTCTCGCTCGATAGAAGTCTCTAAAAGCTCTGCCAGGTTTTTTTGTGGAGTGTTTTTTTCTATTGTGTAAATCTATGTTTTTTCTGTTGTGTAAATCTATGGTTTAATCCACCCATCTGAGTTGCGTTTCTTAGTGGGTAGACAATCAGGTTAGAATTCTCTTTAGGATTATTGATTTGCGGGTATAGGAGTGAAGCTATTGTGATTCTTGTAAGTAAGGATTAGAAGGGAAGTGTGATTGTGTAATCGGTAATCGTTGGTGAGAGTAATAATAGTGCAGCGAGCCTCCATATTTTGGAGCTCAACGTGGATGTAGCTTGTTCAATCTTGAACAAGTGAACCACAGTAAAAGATCACGTGTTCTTCCTTTTCGTTTGATCTTTATTTGGTTGTTTATAATCTTGATCTTGGTTAGGTAGACTTCATTTTACAACAGTGGTATCAGAGCCAAGTTTAGGGTTCCTCGAATTTTATATTCTAGGGTTTTCTTGATTTGGGAAATTTTCTAGGGTTTCCGAAAAATTTGGGGCTTTTTAATTAAGTAGTTCCAAGAGTCCCAGGGTTCCAAATACAACAAGAATCTCCAAAAATCTTAGAGAATCGAGTCCATAATCATAATCTTGATTCCTTAGGGTTTATTGTCGAACTCAAATCATGAGTATCACTAGAGGTGGAACAAATGGGCCGAGTTAGGCAGGTCAACCCTAACCCGGCCCGCATTTAAGAGGGTTCAACCCGGACCGCCAATAAGGCGGGCCGGGTTGAACCCAACCTGCATGTAACCCCCTGGCAGGCCGGGTTGATAAATTGCAACCCAGGGACCTGCGGGTTGCTATTTTGTCTTTTTTGGAGAAGGCCCGCCAACTCGGTTGGTTGACCAGTGGGTTGGCTGTTACACACAACGGCCAACCAGTCAGGTTGACCCGCGGGTTGGTCGAAAAATAATTAAAAAAAACAAATTTTTTTTTTCGAATACCTCCTTTACTCTTGAAATATAGCTGTTTTATAGCAGTTGGAGGGGTCTTTTTCATCATTTTCTTTTCCTTTTTTTTTTTTTCTATAAATTGGCCCTAAACTCTCATATTTTCTCACATCTCAAATTCTCTAATCTTTAATCTCTCAATTATTCTCTTTGTTATCAATTTGCTCTTATTTTAATTTTTATTAGTTTTTGCAATTTTCAATTCATATTTCCACATTCTAATTCTCCTTCTTTAATTTTTTACTTCTTCTACGTCAATTTTTTTTTTTTTAACTACAATGGATAGATATTTCTCTCCCATCAATTTCAATGATGAAGGAAACTACTATCCTAGTCCTAGTCCTAGTCCTAGTCCCAGTCTCGCTGAATTTACTAACATAAATGCAGGAGATTCAAATAGTCACGCTTTCCCAGTCTCAAAATCTGATACATCTCAAAATATGCCCTTGATTCCTCCCTATGCTGCTACACCTACAGCTTTCGGTGGTTCTAGAAGTTATCCTTGTAATCGTCGTCTTCGTCCAACTTCATCTCAAGCTAAAGCGGGTTCATCAACTGTTGTCGAAACCGAAGACAGACACATATCAGATGTTTGGATGGATTTCGACAAGTTTTACGAGACAGAAAATGGATTTTAAGTCAAGAAAGTAAGATGTAAATATTGTGGTAATATTTATAAAGCTGATTCAGGTAATGGTACTAGTACTTTAAAAAGGCATGCTAATAAACATATTGGTCAACATAGAAATAGAGAAACCAATCAAACTCAAATAACTTATATGGGTACTACTTGGCGTTATAATTCTAATGTATATAGGGAACAATCAACTTTATATATTGTTGCAACTGATCAACTTATTAATATGGCTAAAGATAAATATTTTGAAAGATTTATTAAAAATTCATTTTTTCCAGGATTTAAAAGTTATTCTAAAACTGCAACTAGAAATGATTTAATAAAATTGTTTGGGAAAATGAAATTAGAATTAAAAAATAAAATACATAGTTGTCATGTTAGTGTGGCTCTAACTGACGATATTTAGAGTGGTAGAGCTAAACAAGATTATATTTGTGTGATTAGTCATTATTTTAATAACGAATGTAAATTAAATAAATCTTTATTAGGATTTAGATTAATGGATGTGGATCATAGTGGTCAACAAATTTATAATAAAATTGTTGAAGTTTTAGAAGATTATGATATTGTTAATAAAGTGATAAGTTTAACTTTAGATAATGTAAGTGCTAATATTAAAGCTATAGATTTTTTTCAAAGTAATTATCCTTTTTATAACAATCTGAAGTTTTTTCACCAACGTTGTGCATGTCACATTATTAATTTAATTGTGAAAAGTGGTATGAAAACAATTAAAGAAAATATTGATAGAATTAGGGATTGTTTAGCTTGGATTACTAGTAGTAATAAAAGAAATGCTGAATTTCAAGATGCTTGTATAAAATTAAATATGTCTCTTAGAACTTTTGCATTAGACATGCCTGTTAGATGGAATAATACTTATTTAATGCTTGCTTCATGTCTACCTTATGCAAATTTAATTAGTTATTTTGTAGCAAATAATAGAGGTCCTCATTATTTGGTA